AAAAGAAGAAGAAGAAAGAGAACAAGAGGGACAAGAGGAACAAATAGAAAAGAGAAAAGCGAGAAAAACAATGAAGAAAGAGAAGAACAAGAAGAACAAGAAGGACAAGAGGAGCAATGAAGAACTGCAAAATATTGTAAAGAAGCCGGAAGGAGAAAAAGAAAAACTGGAAAAAATAACCTAAATCACAAACCGGTTACCATTTGGCAGCTTCTTGCAAAGCAAGTAATTTTTATTTAGTTCAGTTATACACATAAAATTTTCTGGAAATTATTTGCAAGCCAAATATTGAGACGTATTTGGATATGAATTCTTTAAGTATAAAATTGTCTAATCTTGAAATTTTGAGACGTATTGRGATATAACTTGTTAAAAGTATGAAATTGTCAATACTGGAAGTAGCTAACTTCAAGTTTACGTTTATCACGCTCGTGAGCCATCTTGCGATGTTTTTCAGAAAGCGAAATTTCTGATAAAGCTATATATTGAAATCACGGATGTCATGGCCTTAAGGTTCATACAGTCGTTCTCAATAGCATGCATGGAATTGTACAATGTCCCGTCGTGAAGAAATAGAGTTTTGGTGGATGTCAATCAAATAGCTTCCATGACATTGTCGGAAAACACAAAAGTTTGCTTGCCAATGAAATGTCATGGCAACTCCTGTAATAGGAAGCCGGTATGCATGTTAGCGTCATTTGCCTCCCGCCACCAAGATGCTTCGCGATTTTCCTTTCTTATTAAAATTTTGCTTTCCTAATGAGAAAAGTACTGAAGACAATCGGTGCTAAACAACTGAACGAAGAATGTGTGCAAAGATTCTGGTAGTGGAAGTCAAATGACGCCATCATGAATACGTTCTACGATCAGAAACATACTTATATACAATGTGATGAATTCGTTTTATTTCAGAATGATACCCAAAAAAGCAATATTCGTTTATGTATCTCTGTTGGTCGCTCTCTACTTATGTATCATTGATTCGTGTGAAATTTACAAGTTTGTTGCAAGTGAAAATCAAAAACTAGAGGGTCACGTGATCACGACTGTTGTTCACAGTATCGTCAATTTATGTTGGAATGACTGTGTTTGGATGTCATGGTGCATGTCAATCAATGTTCGTCCCACCAATTACGGAACAGTTGAATGTGATTTGAATAACTCAAGTAAAGGAGCCAATCCTGGAAACTTAGTATCTAGTCAGGGATTCCAGTATCACGAAATGAAGGTAAGAACCCTTTGATCACACATTCTTTAAACAGAATTTAAAATTACGCTTTTCTTGCCTAAAAAATCATACGCTGATTTGTTTCTAACGATATCTTTGTTCATGTTAGGGAGTTAATGATCTTTACTGCAAGATGAATGAATGTAAAAGAAAAGAAGGTATTTACTCTGCTTGATTTTGGACTTCTATTCTATGCTTATCTATTATTAAACGAAATCATCAGTATGCACTTTGAAAACAGCTTCACTAATYCAAAGGGCTGGTTAGAATAGGTAACGCAGCATTCGTTCCTCTTAGCTAAACCAAAGACTAGAAACTTTAAAAAGTAAAGGGTATTTTTGCGCAAAGATAGTTTAGCGAGTTTCATCTAAAAATATTATTTATGATTCGTGCAAGTCCAAGAGAATATTGTCTTCATATTTGATCGACACCCTAAAACAATTCACAACTTCTGGACTGCTCAAAGACAGTAGGGCAAATAATGCTACATTACAGATCGAAATGGAATTTAGCATGTTATATTTTGCGATGAGATCGAGGAAAACCGGAGAATCCGGAATAAAACCCTCAAATCAAGAAAAAGACGTAAGAAACTTTACTCACATCTGATACCCAAGCCCATGTTCCTCTTTGTCAGCACCGAGAAAGGAGAGGCTGTTAAGGCAGCCGATTATTTGAATATCTGATTGGTTCAGGAAAAACCAATAGCAATAGTCTTTCCTGAAATAAAATGGCTAAATGACTCGGAAAATCTTAGAAAGCAAATGGATTTGCCAGGATATGTTAGAATAATCGATCTTTCGTATCCGAGATCGTAGTATCTTTAGTATTTTTATAGTATTGCAGATGACTAGAAGACTCGAATTAAAGCAATTTTCCGCGAGAATTAAGGCGAGGAGAATAGGGCGAATAGAGCTTACTTTTCTACATGTCAACCGTACAATTTACCCTTAGTCTTGCATTCGTTATTCCTGTTTCACATTTCGACACTGAAGTCTTACAATTCGATATTCGTGTTTGAGCATAATTTGACAATGTGACATTGAAGTAACTCGAAATCCAAGTTCTTCCATGCGACATTCAAGTTYGATCATTTTATGCGAGTTTGAATATTTGACTCGCATGAGTGGAAACCATTCAGGCTCCAGGACTGATTGCTAACAACCATCGCTCCACGTACACGGTTCTTCCACCACGACATTTGGAAGGTAACCCAAAAAACGGCTTGCCTGTGCTATAGGCACGCGCAGTCGTAACTTCCCTTCCGATATTGACGGACCAGAAGTTAACTGAAAATCGTTTACAGCCATATTTTCTCGTTTCTCGGTGCTGACAAAGAGAAACGTACTTGGGCTCTGGGTACCAGATTGGCCGCATTTAGAATTCGAACCTAACCCCAGAGGTTAGAAGCGAATGTTCTACAGTTACGCCTCCCTTGATTTTAAGAATAATTATAGATGTGTTGTTTGCAGATTTGGGTAATGGATGGTTTCGATATGGTAAAGCAGCCATCAAACTTTTTCAGGAACTGAAAAACTGGACCGATGCTCGTCTTTTCTGTCAGGCACATGGAGGGGACCTCCTGTCCATAACGAGCTCACATGAGAATGACTTTGTGTACGATGTATTTGTGAAGAAGCTTAATTTGACTTACGGAGAACGAGGTAATGTTTAGTCACTGACCAACCTTGCATGACAAGAATTGATGTTATTGCCTGTTAATTTTTCCTCTTTGTAATTTACAAAAATCAGTTGAAGAAGCGCCCCCAAAACAAACCAACCCACCAACCCACCAACCCACCAACCCACCCACCCACCC